CCCTGTTGGACCTGGAAAGCTGGACGGAACTCCGAAGGAATAAGGGGAATTTCTTGTTTTTTGCCCCCGGTAACCTCCTTCAAGCCCCCCAAAGATGGCGATGCAAGCGACCAAAAGAGCGGAAATAAGTAACGGGGGATGTCTGCGAGGAAGGAAGATTCGCTGTGGACTCCGGGCGGCGTGGGTCAGGGGCATTTCCGCCCTTCTTCGTCCCAGGGCGGGAAGCCAGGCGTTACCGCGCTATCGAAGGAAGTTCAGCCTCGCCTGGCAGCCTTTGTTCTTCGCCTTCAGCCTGGCGTCTGCATCTTCCCGGCTTAAAGGCCAATAGCACAGATAAGTCCCCAATAAATAACCTAATGGTCACAGGCGACGAGAGCCTTGAGAGTCTTCTCACCACGGAGCTCTTTGGACCCTTCATGGGTTTTTTAATTAATTTTTATTATTTCATGTTTTTTTGTGGGGGAGAAGAGGGGAGAGAAAGAAACATGGATTGTTGTTCCACTTACCTATGCTGTCCTGTTTGAAACTTGTATGTGCCCGACCGGAGGCGGAACCCGCGGTCTTACCTAGGCGTATTGGGATGACGCTGTAACCAGCTAAGCTAACCGCTGGGCGGATCCTTCCCGTTTTAATTCAACAACACTTTTAAGCAGCTACGATGTACCAGACTTGCGAGATAGGAAACAATTCATCAGTTATAGTAATTGAAAAGCTACCAGGTGCGAGACACAAGTCTAGGTATTGGAGATGGAACGGTGAATAAAACAAAAAGCCCGGCTGCCTGCATCCTTACGTGAGAGGGGGCGTTATGGAACCCTAAAAAAAAAAGAATCTCAAAAAAGTGTTCAACTCTAAGGTGCTGAAAGGTATAGTAAGATGAGGGCAGATAATGGAGACTTTGCGTGACCTGGTTGATTTTTCCTTCCGTGGGTGAAAACAGTAGTGGCCGGATGACATCGAGGATGGAGGTTAAGAAAGTGGAGGCAGTTCCTTCCACAGGTTTGCATGTGGACAGGGAGAAGGTGAGTTAGGTGGTGGCTGGCTTTTCCTTTTTGAGATGTGTGGCATAAGGTGTCTTTGTATGCCAGTGGGGACGATGGTCTAGTAAGTGGGAGAAACGGATGGTGTAGGAGGAAGATGGGTTAGGTTCAGGCGGTTTGGAGTGGATGAGGGGTTGGCATGGTACTGGGAGGGAAAGTGGGTGCATATGGATGAATGTAGGTCGGCAGGTTTGGTAACGGGAATATAAAGTGTTTACCATTTGTTCATACCTGTTTTTCCCAGTAAGCAAGAGCCCCGGTCCTCTCTCAGGACGGGCGGGGAGGAGAATGCCCAGCCCAGCTCAGATACGAGAGGGGGTGGTGGTGGTGAGTGTGAGGAGAGAAGCGAGTGTGATTTAGTGGCTTGCAGTTGGAGAAAGCAGATTTACTAGGGAAGTCTATGTGATGGACAGTGTTGATCATCGGTTTGAACTTATCCTTGAATCTTAAAATCTAAACTTTATTGTACTTACTTGTTTACCATTCGTCACCGCTACTAGATTGAGGGCAGGGACTAGGTATATTATTCTTGGATTTATACAACAAAGCTTAGTGCCTGACATAGTTGCCAATTTAATAAGTAGTGAGCAAATTAATGACTATTTACATGACTGTTCATAAGGAGCACAGAATCTGGTGGGATATACACATTTGAGAGTTATCAACTCAATGTGGAAATGCTGTGTGTGGTGAAGAGACTGTAGAGTTTGGGGGGGCACATGAAGGGTCAAGACAAGAAGTCTAAAGATAAAACTCTGTGGAAGAGCATATTTTAATGGCAAAAAAGACTGAGAAGAACTAACTAGCCAGAGAGTTAGGAGAAAGCCAAGGAAATAGTATCAAGCAGGTCACAGTCAATAGTGCCAGAGGCTCAGGGAAGTTAAGTATGATGTGAATTG